TAAATTTTAATTATTTATTCTACTATTTTATTTGTTTTTCTATTATTTTTTTTATTTTTTTTTAATGAATTTGTTAATTTAATTTTATTGATTACCTAAATGTTTTTTGACTTTAAAGTAAAATTGAGTTGCGCTCCTAATGGTTTTAGTGCTATGGGGAAGATTGTTCCATAAGCGAATAGCATTAATGAAGAACTGCCTCTTCGAGCAAAGCGTTTGAATTCGAGGACAAATGTAATTGTTAGTTCTTTGTGATGTAGCGGGGTTAAGTTTGCGGTAAAGGTAAATCGGTTCTTGGGTGGTTACAATTTTATGAAAGTATACTAAGGTTCTAAAATCTATCCATGGGGTCAAGTTGAGGTCAAGTATTTTACGAGTCAGGTGGGAAACATGGTCAAAACGACTTAAATTAAAAGCATAACGGACAATTGAATTAAAGCATACTACTAATGTGTGCAAGTCACGAGCGTCACAATGACCAAAAATCTCTACACCATAAAAGAGAGTACATACATACACACTTAATCATAATAATAGGTACACACATCTACGTAAACTTTAACATAACAGAAAACGGTTTTATGCAATATATTAAACTTAAAATTAGTTCTCAATTATTCCTTAGGTATTTGTTTTCAATCAAATAAACTTGATTATATTATAACATAATGTTATAAAAGAAAATATATCCATTTGTACTTCAAAGTCAGGCTGCTCAAAATAATATGTACACTTCAAGTATTGTTATGAAAAAAGTTTGTTAACTGATTATTATTATTTTTTTGTTGCCTAAATGGGATTTTATAGTAATAGTGTATGTTGCCTAATCAAATTAAAAGTTAAAAACAACAAATTTTAATAAAATATTAAATATTAAGAGCTTTTTTATACAAATTGTACACCACAATTAAAGACGAATACAAACACACTGTACACAAAACAAACACGGTGGCTCTGCTGGGCAAATTCGACCTTGAAAAAATAAGATGTGTTAGACTATTCAACATTTCACGCACATGTGCAAGTTTCTGCAGTTGACTTGAGCACTTTTATTAAGTTAAGACTTAGATTAATACAATGAATATAAAATCTATGGGCGTATCGGGGGGAACACAACTAAAACTTTAAGTAAACATAAAAATCATGCACAAAAAAGGAACAAAAACAAAGGTTACATATGTAGGCCGTCTAACCCGGGAATTGAAGTGACCAATATCGGTGCGTGGGTGAACTGTCTAGGTATAAAAACACAAGCCCGGCGATTTGATGTAACTCTTTTTTATTAGCTGCGCGTCTGTCTCTCACAATCGCCATTTACAAAGTGAACTTACTCTATTATCGATGTTTCTTATCCGATATCTGACTATTGGTATTTCCCGCCGAGTGTATCGATGGTTCGGTAAATACCAATGCGCGCTGTATGCTATTTTAAATACTAGTTGAATGTCTCATTAATTATTACCTTGCTACAATTCGGCCATCCTGACCGGAGTGCTCCTGAACTCCTTACATTTAAGTTAGTTTCTAGATAGGTTTATTTATTACAGTTGGGTGTGGTTTACTCTTAACATTCTAAGTTTACGTATTACAATCATTTTCTTCATTTTGATTCCCTGTGACATTTGCATTATTACCATTTTCAATCCACGGCTTCATATTTGCAACCGCCCAAACTCCTTTATACGGGATCCTTGATTGTTGAAACCCCTCTACATCTTCTAGCAAATACCTATCATTTTTTAACACCTTTGATATCTTATAAGGTCCTTTGAACTTCGGGATAAGCTTTTTAGACACCCCTATATGAGTGTCGAAATTTCTCACCATAACTAGATCATTATCTACGTACACGTGTGGCTCCCTTCGCTTTGAATCTGCTGCTTGTTTGTTATAAGACTGTATTTTTTCCTGATGAGTGCCTGCTACTGCTCTAATCTTTTCTAGATCCCTTGTTGCCCGTTGTTCGGTTAGTTCGTCTAGATGACCTTTTAGTAAATCAGAAACCTTTCCTTTTTGTACGACCCCAAACAACATTCTACTCGGGTGTTCATTAATTGTTCTTTGAATTGTGTTGTTCATCGCGTGTTCTACTGTTTCTACTACCATATCCCAATGTAATCCTTTTTCCGGGTCAACAAGCTTTGCAATCATGGGTCCCAAACTTCTGTTCACCCTTTCTACCTGCCCGTTGGCCTGTGGCGACCCTGTTGCTATCTTTACGTGTTTAACATTGCTCTGTTCTAAGAATTCTTCAAACTCTTTTGACGTGAAACAGCTTCCTCTGTCTGACACAATACATCTGGGTCTACTGTAAGCTCGGAAATAATCTTTCATTGCAATTACTGCTTCCATTGTGCTAGTGGTTTTGGTCGTATAAAGTCTTACGAATTTGGTGAACGCGTCTATTACTACTAAAACATGTTTGTTGGCCCTGCCTTTGTCGACTGGCCCGAAATGGTCGATATGTACTACCTCGAATGGTCCTGACCCTTTTGGTATGTTGTGTAAAAACCCTTCCTCTTTTCCGTGTTTTGCTGAGTACGCTATGCATTTTAGACAGTTTTCAATGTGTCGCTTGGCTTTATACCTTACGTTTGAGATCCAGTAGCTTTTCGATATAGCGTCGGTCATCTTGTCTATACAGACGTGCCCTAGTTCATCGTGGTACTTATAGAGTACGTGGCCTTCCATTTCCTCGGGTACGCAGAATAGGATAGTATTGTTCTCTTTTTTCCTGTATATTATTCCGTTTCTCATCTCATAATGTTTGTGTTCTGATTTCTGTAACGTTTCTCTCAGCTCCATCAGTTTGTTATCTCTGTTTTGGCATATAATTAAATTCTCTTCAAAGGTGTTTGTGTCTACCGTGAGTATCTGAATGGCTCTGCTTAGCGCATCTACGTGTTGCATTCTGCTTCCTGACCTGTGCTCTAACTTGTAGTCATAATTTTGTAACTCTAACGCCCAGCGGGCAATGCGTGGATTGAGTTCTTTTTAGTTTAGAGTCATAGTTAGCGCGTTGCAGTCTGTCACTATTTTGAAGGGTATGCCTTGCACGTATACTCTAAACCGTTGTAGTGCATAAATTATCGCTAGTGTCTCCAGTTCAAAGCTGTGGTATTTTGCTTCGGTAATTGTTGTCCGCTTGGAGAAATAGAACACCGGGTGCATTCTGCAATCACCCTTCTTCTGCATTAGAATTGACCCGAAACCTAACGAACTTGCATCGCAATGTAATTCTGTCGGATCTCTGGGATTGTAAAGTGCCAAGATCGGTGCTTCCAACAAATTACTTTTGAGTTGTTCGAAACATTCTAGTTCTATGATACCGAATTCAAACTTCCTGTCTTTTTTGACCAAATCATAAAGGGGCTTAGCTTTCGTAGAAAAATCTTTTACAAACCGTCTAAAGTAAGAACATAACCCTAAGAAACTCTGCACTTCGTTCGTTTTCGTGGGGACTGGGAGCCCTTTTACTGCCTGTAATCCCTTCGTATCTGGTTTAATTCCGTTACCCGATATGGAATAGCCCAGGTACTTAACCTCTGACTGTAAGAATTCGCATTTATCAATCCTTAATTCAAGTTTATTCTCTACCAATCGTCTCATCACTTCTTGTAAAATTTCCATGAGACTATCACTATCTTTTGTTGCTACCATAATATCGTCCATGTATATTATAACTTTGTCTTCCTTTACCATGTCTGCAAAAATTTTGTTTGTGAATCTTTGAAACACCGCCGATGCATTTCGTAACCCGAACGGCATCCTCAACCATTCGTATTGTCCCATGGGGGTCGTGAACGATGTGTATTTAACTGAATCTTTATGCATAAATACGTGGAAGTATCCATTCTTCAGGTCTAACTTGGTGAAAAGTCTTTTCCCTGACAGTTAATCTAGTAGGTCGTCTATAAGAGGTGTTGGGTAATTGTCCTTTATCATTCCTTTATTAAGTGTGCGATAATCGACGCACAGTCTCAACTCTCCCGAATTCTTTTTTACCAGTACTATAGGCGAAACGTATTCTGACTCACTGGTTCTGATGTAACCTTTTTCTGTGTAATCGTCTATCATTTTCTGTACTTGGGCTTTTTCGCTATACGACAGTCTTCTAGGTGGGCAATGAAACGGTTTTTCGTGTTCGAAATTCAACTTCATTTCCCACTTGGTTTGTGGTAAGTTTGGTTTTTCTGCGTTTACATACGCTGTCCTAAACATGTATTTAAGTCGTCCTGCGAGTTCTTGGCTACAATCTGTCCCTACTTTCAACTCCCAATCGTTTTCTTTGTCTGGATACTGGCTTGGTAGTTCGTTGAAATTGGCTTTTACGCTCTCGCAGGTATCGCTGTCTTCCAGACACTCAACCATTGCAGAACACTCATTTTCTACCTTGCCTTCACTTTCTACTTCATGCTCGTTCTCTTTACCACCCTCATCTTTTACTTCACACTCATATTCTCCTAAACGCTCATTCTCTATTCCACACTCATTTTTTTCTAAACACTCATTTTTTATGTCACACTCACTTTCTTCTAAACGCTCATTTTCTCCTAAACACTCATTTTTTTCTAAACACTCATTTTCTTCTAAACACTCATTTTCTCCTAAACACTCATTTTTTATTTCACACTCGTTTTTTGTCTCACTCTCCTTCTCCTTGCAAATGTCACTTACAATTTTAAATTTGCATAAATTCATAAAATCCCTACCTAACACAGCCTCATAGCCCATCGACTCGTCTGCCACTACTAGTAATTCAAAGTTGATTCGATTTTTGTTAATAATTACAAAACTGGGTATTTTACCAAAGATGTTAAGTTTGCTATTGTTTAGTCCAACATAAGCGTAATCCGCATTTTTATTCAAAATAAATCCAATTTCTCTGTTTTTCTTGTCTTTGTTAAACTTATATAAACTTAAATCATCTTCTTTGATTTCATTCGAACTTAATCGTGAGCGCTCTTCCGCTTTATTTAGATTATTTTCCGACTGGTGCTCTAGACATGATAACTTTATAAAACTTATTGGGCTACCTGAGTCGATGAGGCAATCTAAGGACAAGCATTTGTTATTGTAATTGCTAATGGATATATTAAATTTGTATATGTAATCGTTATGTACCTTGTACTTCTTTTCGTCACAGTGTGACACCTGGTGACTCATGCTGCCGCATCCGTAGCACGCTCCTCTTTCGCGCTTGGGCTTGCGGCACTCCCCTGCCACGTGGCCCAAAGAGTTGCAGTTGTAGCAGCGAATGGGTGTTGGCGAGGCTCCAGTGTTTGCCCCTTCAGTTGAACCGTACTTCTTTGGCAGCATGATCTTCTCGAACGCCTTGAGTAGTTGATGTGGAGCACCAAAGCACTGCATGTGGGCTTGCCTACGCAGGCCTACATCTGGGATACCTTCGATGACTCCGTCAATAAACTCCTCATCGTCAATGACTATGCGGGATGCCAGCGACACTTTGGCGTTGAAGTACATCGAGAACTCCTCGTCACGTGCCCATGAACGGGACTCGAACTTGCGACGGAGCAACAGTTTGCTTTCCTTGGGATGGAAAGTGTCTTCCATGACTTTCAACAACTGATCGATTGGCAACGACATGTGCTCCGGACTCGAATGCAGCCACACCAATGCTTTGTCCTTAAGCTTCGACATTAGCAGCATTAGTAGCTTCTCATCCTTCAGTTTGTTCACTTTTGCGATGGCCTTAAACTGCGCGATCCAAGTTGTGACGTCATCGTTGTTTCCAGAAATGTTGCCATGATATGTTGGCAACATGTCTTTGGCGGCATTTAGCAACATGACGCCAGCGTCATTGTTGGCGGCTGGTGTTGTGTTCTCTCCTCTCCCTTCCTTCTCCCTCTCGCACTGCAGCTTCAGCAGCTCGATTTGCAATTTTAACATTTCAACCTCTGCTCGATATTCGCCGTGGTTGTTGTTGTGCCCAGGCGCTTGCGGTGCTTTTTCGTTCTTCTCTTTGCGTTCGCTCTTCGTCGAGTCTTGCTCTGCGGCTGCCTCATCTTCCCTCTCGTTTTCGCATGTTTCGGCTGCCGGTGGTCCCTGTCCCCGCAGCTCTACTGGTATTTCGTTAAGTCTCGCTGCCATGGCAGCTTTGCTTCCACCTTTTGGTAGATTGAGGGACTCCAGCCATCCGCGCAGCTGGGCGGCCGAGAACTCCTCCGTGCCGACCAAGTCCGACATGTTTTTTCAGCGATGGCGTCTTCGACGGACGAGAAAAGAAAAATTTTTGGTATTTTTCACTGGCGGCGGTTGATCCTATCCCACTTCTGAAATTGTAGGCCGTCTAACCCGGGAATTGTAGTGACCAATATCGGTGCGTGGGTGAACTGTCTAGGTATAAAAACACAAGCCCGGCGATTTGATATAACTCTTTTTTATTAGCTGCGCGTCTGTCTCTCACAATCGCCATTTACAAAGTGAACTTACTCTATTATCGATGTTTCTTATCCGATATCTCACTATTGGTATTTCCCGCCGAGTGTATCGATGGTTCGGTAAATACCAATGCGCGCTGTATGCTATTTTAAATACTAGTTGAATGCCTCATTAATTATTACCTTGCTACACATAAAACACTAATTTTAAAAGGTCTAACACACAAATTTGTTTTTCAACTTTTATTATCAATAAACACCATAATTCAGAAGTGGGATCATTAGAGTTTGTTATATGTAGAGCGGAAAGGTTGCAATAGGATGTGTTCCCAAAGGTGTATGTGACAAAGCAGATTGCATATTACGGATGTCATCCTTTTCTACGTGGCAGACGGATTCAAAGTTGAGCGATCAGGAATCTTAGTGAACCTAAGAAAAAGAGCTACGAGAAATTGCATCAGGAATCTGTGTGAGCCTGTCGATATACATACAAAGAGCTTGTGTGTATATGTAACGTCATTGTGAAATACCAACATATCCCTGCAGTACGGGTTATCGATGACCCAGCTGACACGTCGATGACCGCCTCACTACCCCCGATGACATAGTCGATGACCGGCCATACGCTGAGCTGTTTACTTTAACATGGAGATGTCCTGAGCATAATCGATGACATTGTCATCGAGCGTTGCGAAAAATCATGCACTTAATAAGCGATGATTTTAGCCGAAAAATCATGCACTTAATAAGTGATGATTTTTCACGAAAAATCATGCATTTAATATAAAAAGTAATACATTCAATTGTTTATTTTTCCAATTATTTTTATTTATTATTATTCATTATTGTCTACGGATGCTTTGTATTTTTTATTCCTTTGCGCCCTTTTGAAAGTAACTATTCTTAATATTATGAATAGTCTTCCTTATTACTTTATCTGCTGGCTCCTAGGGTATTTTCATGTTCACCGCCGCTGAAATAATATAGATATATTAATTAATTAATTATAATGAATTTTTAAGGTTTTTTTTAAACCTACATTCCAGGACATAGTAAAATTCTTTAACATTTTTTAAAGAACTCTTCCCCGACGTACCGTCCACATTGCCATCGATGAGCTCGTCCCCAATAAGCTCCTTATTTTGTTGATCTAATAAAAGAAAATAATGAAAAAATAACAACTAGCTGTCATAGAAGGATAGGCTACCACTCACATAAACAATCGGTAAGCTCTGGAGTTATAATAGAGTTGAAATGCTCCAACTCCATCGTCGACTCTATCGGAAATTGTATGAAATTTTGTACGTCTGGCTCTTTTTTAATCTGAAGTTTGAGCAGAGCCACCGCCTCCGCCAATGTTTCAGATAGAACATCAACTTTCTATTCCAGACTAGAAATTGCAGCCATTATACGGTGCTCTGCCGGAACTGCAATAAAAATTTTTATAGTTGTACACAATTGTACACAAAGTAATTAAAAATTCATGTACTTACGCGAAATTTGCTATTCTTCTGGCACAGGTTCTGTGAAAACAATGTTAATTGGGTCAATACTTATTTCATACATCAAGCACAAAAATTATATACTTACGCTCTGCATCAATGATTAAACGCCGAATTTTTTGATTTTGTGTATTTTCCATACTGAAAATATAAAGAAAATTCGTCTCTTGCAAAATATATATATATATATTTTTTTTTTTGGTTTGTCGGACCTTGGCCGGTGAATCTTCCAAAGATATCTTTAGCGCCGGCGCTAAAGATATGCCCGATTCGTAATTCAATTACTCCTACGGACTAAACACCTCCATTTTATGCATTTAAAAATAAGCAAAAAATACTACAAATGAAAATAAGTAAAGGTAGCAAATAAACCTATGGAAAATTCAACAACGGAGCTAAAACTAGTTCTCCTTTATATGGCAGGGCAACGGCTTTCCGTTCAAAGTCTTCTACCGAAAACTTTTCCAGCTCCGTTGGTGCTTCTAAATTGACTAGGTATATACCTAACTAAGTCGAACTTAATGGTTCACTATAAAAACATCTAATGTTTTTAATTATTCTACCTATAATAAAAATCTTTCCTAATTCCTCTTCAAATGACTGCCTGTAACAAATGCTCTTGCAGGAGCATCGCAAACAACAGCTCAAATTTCCAAGTGAACAGTTTTATCTTGAATGGTGAGTCCATTTGCCTTTAAATCGGACAACTCATTTGTGTACTTTGACAAAAACTCTTCGGAATTAAATGGCCGGAATGGAAGACCGGACATTTGTTTAAATTGTTTACTCTAATTAAAATAGGCCACAATTGTGCACGAGAACTTTTAAATAATGGAAGCCCGTCAACATTAACATCAATACTTAATATATCGGGAAGATTCTGAATCACCGATAATTTGTTTAATTGCTTTGATAAACCAATATGCAAATAAGAGCCGCCTCCTATTTGCATTATTTCAGGCTTTTCATTGCAATTAAATCTATAAAAAGGCCTAACGTTCACATTTTCTTCATTTAAAATCTTAATCAAATCTTAGACGCAACTACGCTTCGGTTTGTGCTTCACAAACCACTTTTTTAATTTTGAATTCAGATCTTCCTTTTCAATTTCTGAGTCTAAGCCATCCTGCACTATTCCAATATCTTCCTGCACTACTTCATTATTTTCTTGTATAACTAGCTCTGCGCTATCTAATTCTCTCTGATTTTCCCTTTCTAATCCTTGGCGTTGGACAAGTTCTAATTTTCTAGCTATCTCATCCCTTTCTTTCTTAACTAATCTTCGCAAATGACGACTACCAACCATTTTGCTATCTTTACGTATTTTAATTTGGTTTTTGTTTTATAAAATGAATTACTTTTTATTTGCAATTATTAAATATTAAAAAAAGCTTTGAAAATTGAAATTATCGCAATCTGTAAATAAATAAATTTAATAAATGAGGAAGTATAAGCTAAAAATAATTTTTAATAATATAAATTTAAAAAACTGAACTTTTAGCACATAATGAAATGCACAAAAGCAGAAATCTAAAACTGAATAAAAAAAAACGACTTAACCATCGAAATAATCAGAAATATAATAGATCAATGTATGTATTTAATTTAATGCATTTTTATACCCGATACTCAAAAAACCAAAAGGAACAAATCAATTTGCAGTGGCTACGCTGCGCCCGACGAAACGTTCAGACATATTTTCTGCCTCTCTCGCACGCATTCTTCTTCGATCAATGCCAACGCAAAAATTATTTGTGAGAAATACGACTTTTTAAAGCAACGAAATCATCTTTTTTTTCACTGTCCACATTTAGTTTTACGCTACTGTATATGTATACATATGTATGTACAATTACTATTACTTTGGTTCAATTGCATAAAAAGAAAGAATTTGTTCGATTTTTAAAACGGTTGTTTGTTTCAACAAAAAAAACAATGTTCACTGTAGGTCAGCGGTGGGCTGTTCATTTCCTCAAACAACAAAAACAAAACACGCGCAAAAAAATGTACAAGCATGCTTGAGCCAAGCCGCACAAATAAGGGTTACTTTTTGTTGCTTTTCCTTTCTTGTTTGTTTTGCTGCTGGACTGCTCAAAAATTGCAATTTCGTGGCCACCGCAGATTATGTATAACAATTATATAACAATTACTATTACTTTGGTTCAATTGCATAAAAAGAAAGAATTTGTTCGATTTTTAAAACGGTTGTTTGTTTCAACAAAAAAAACAATGTTCACTGTAGGTCAGCGGTGGGCTGTTCATTTCCTCAAACAACAAAAACAAAACACGCGCAAAAAAATGTACAAGCATGCTTGAGCCAAGCCGCACAAATAAGGGTTACTTTTTGTTGCTTTTCCTTTCTTGTTTGTTTTGCTGCTGGACTGCTCAAAAATTGCAATTTCGTGGCCACCGCAGATTA